TTTATATATATATATATATATACACACATATATATATGTGTGTATGTGTATATATATGTATATATGTGCATGTGTGTGTGTGTGTGTGTGTGTGTATTGTGATTTGGGTGAAAATTTACACAACAAATTCACTTTCCATACAGCAGATCACATACACTTTTTCTCATGACACTGACTACAATTTACCACAATGCAACAGGTCCCTTCCCACTTCCTCCCGATGGTTACCTCTTCCCTGTGACCATCCCTCCATGTACTCCTGTCCCCTGAGCTGTTTCCCTGGGCATAAACAGCTCTTCTTTCTCCCATGATTATTCTCTCCAAGGAATGTATCTACCTCAGGTAAATGTTCAACTCATATGCCTGTCTTTTGTTTGGCTGGAGGTCACAGGTGTGGGTTCAATTCCAGACCTGACGGGCAGCTAGGGGCCATAGTCTCAGTGGTTCCACCAGGCTCTGATAAGACCAGCAAACCGGTCCCCCCCTTTTTTTTTTCCAAATAATTTTGAGTTTTGTTCCACACTGTTCTCCCTCTCTATCCAGGATCTCCTACATAGATCCTCCTCCGAGTGGCTGATATTGGTATTCGGGCACCATATAGTTCTTCTGGTCTCATAGTCATATAGGCTGCAGATGGCATGATGTACCAGTCACAAGGACTAATTCTTTCCATGAAACATTGGTTTTCTTCATTCTTCTTTGCTCTGGACAAGGAGAGACCCATTGTTACATCTAGATGGCTCCTTGCAAGCTTTTAAGATCCCAGTCGCTACTTGCCAAAGGAGGAGGTGGAACAATGTTTTGTGTAGTATGTTATGCCAATTGGGCTTGATGTCCCCTGTAACTATGGTCCTGAGCTCACAGGTCCAACTACTCACTCCTTCTGGGTAGCTGGCTGTGACCAAGAAGTGACTATAACCTTGTCCCTTGTCAGCTCCACTATATACCTGGGAATTCTTACAGAACATACCAACAGACTTGTAGAACCATTGTCTGCCAACCGTATACATTGTCTTGGGCAAACTCCCACCTGCATAGACATACCTAATAGTTCAGCCTGTCCACCATCATTCCACCTGTATATCCACATTTGCCTTCACTGACAA